TTGATCAATGTTTAATGAGCTATTAGTAAACTTAATTATCACTTTATAGAGGAGGTATCTGAGTGTTGTGCCCCCATGAAGCCAATCCACTGTTAAAATTCCTCAGCCCACTACTTCTTCAAGCAGGTGAGAGCGTAGGGTGAGAGTAGGCTCTTCCCGAGCGGCAGAAGAGCAACGCTACATGACCCTTTCAAAGGCTTGATGAAGAAAGAAATTCCATCCAGTCATCTGGATTTGAAGGGACTGGCAAGGCTTTTTGAAAGAGGAGATGGAAGGTGGATGGATCAATGGGTCTCTCCCATACGTTGGGCTGTGCCTGAGCAGCACAGGTGCGATTGCCAAGTCCCTTCACCGCATTGCTGAGCGCTCTCTGGGAGAAAGGATCCCGAGTGTCTTTGTTGGGACTGCTCCCATGTTCCTGGAGAAGGGCCTGAGAAGGGGCTAAATACCCGAAGAAAACTATAACCTGTTTCAAATTAACTGATTCTTTATTATCAGATAACTCAGTTCAATAGGATTCACAATTTTAGCTCCTCTTCATTTGCCTTAGACATGCCAAGTACAAACTTCATCAATGAATGCAACTTATTTTGTTGGTTACTTACTTTATAACTGGCTACTACAAATCAAGAAGGGAAAAGACGAGACAGACTTGCATTATCAGATGTTTGAATTCAGCGTTCTGAAAAATCCTCTTACTTTTGTAGTGCACAGCACCATGAACTCATAAAACACTAAAAAATCCAGCGTAGCACGCAACAGCTGTACTGCATAATTACTTGGCCCAACAGCAGTAGTTTTAAAATACTGGTATATCTATTGCAGGCCACCATACGTTATCATCTCATTTTCAATAAAAAGTCTGGGATGTTTCAGATGAGCTTCAATGGAATTAGAATCATGTGTGCTTTGAAATATTTATGCTTGCCTTGAGATGGAAGGATAATTCCTGCCTTCAACTCCCCCACACAAATAACAGAATTAATAATACCAGATAGTCCGACTCCTCCATACCTACAGCAGGTAGAAGTGAAGTTCTGATCTGGAATACACATATTTTCATAGGTTGTAGAACTTGTGTTTTATTTCATTTAGTGAGGTCAATAATAAAATATAAATGTCACAGGCTGTAAGACGCCAAGAGAAATACGGTTTGGCAGCATGGAGCTGCTTAGGGATACATAAATAATAAGTCAATAAGTAAATAAATAATAGGCAAAGACCTATTTTATCTTCCATTTGAAGATCTCAAAGAATTTACAGTCACTGATTGAGACTTGTAATATCCCATCTGAAGCACCTGAGTAGTAATAGCCCCTTATCATGCACAGGAAAATTTTCCTCACTCTAGGCGTGGTTTCCGAAGCAATGACTTCATAATTTTTATTAAGCGTTTTTAAAATTCATGACTGAAGGGGCTTGTCCATGGTCACTTGTCCCTTTTAAAGGCAAACAGGGAAAACAGCAACCTGCTCCACTACCTCACGTCTTTTAATTGATTGAAAACGTTTGTGAGGATCCATATATTTGGAAACGCGGTTGCGTTCTGCAGTCAGAACTTGTTTGAAAGGCCATTATCGGAATAATGGTCTTTATCTGGGCCAGCAGTTTTTAGACTTTAGCATATAATTCTCTTTCTCCCATATAAAACAAGCATATTTGTAATGTGGATGAGTTTAGCAGTAGTAGATTCTTCCTCTTATCAAACAGCCCTTCCTTTTGCCACGTGAGAAGTGTGGTCTATCCCAGACAGAGACTGCAAAGCCAAGAGTTTTAGACATCCCTGTTCCATTCTTTACTTCTTATTCTAATCTACCTGCTCTGAGAAAATGAACCCTATGTCTCAGTATATGGCACAGACCGAAGACTGATGCCTGTTGAGTCTTGTTTCCTTCCCCCTAGTCTTTCCCACAGTCGGCAGAAAGCCCTTCAAGGCTGTGCCGAGGAGTTGGCCAAGAGTCCAAAGAGGAAACACTTTCTCCTTCTTGCATCATTTTACCTTTCCAAGTTATTTTTGGTCATTTCTGCATTTGTTTTTCTTCCCCTCTCTCTTTGGGAAGATCACCGACAAATGCTTTAAATAAAAGTTTAAAAATTTCCAACCTAGTTTTTACTTGATTAGATGTTTGCCACATAAACTTTCATTTCTCACTTTTATCTTCATCCTTCATCTTCCATGTGGCATCCAAGAAAAAGAAAAACTACAGAAGGAGATACAAAGAAAGAGAGGAAGAATATCGAAAAAGAGGACAGATATGTTGTATGCCAGTGAAAATTGTTGTAGTCATCAAAATGCTCACCACCAACTGTAGTTGGATTAATATTTGTGGCAAAATATTTTGACAAGCTCTAAAATGACTCTTGCTTCCTGGAGAAGGTGATGATACCTTCATACCCGTGAAGTGGCTATGACGTAAGTGCCAATAAAGCAGTTACGCCTCAGGGGTTGGTGTAAGTGAGATCAGAGGCGGATGCTTTGGGTGGAATTCACCTAACTGAAGGTGCCTGTGTAGACTGGAGGTATCTACCTCGGAGCTGGTACTGGTTGGGCTACCTTCACATCCACCGGTGAGCCAGTTGGCATGGTCAGTGAAGTCTAGACCAAGGTAGTGGTCTATTTTTGGGTGAGATGGACAGTTCCTTAGACACCATTTGTTCTGTTTAGTTCTCCATTGAGTCTAGGATAATGAGCTCCACATTTAGTAGGGTGAATCCCACATTATCTCTACCTTTGATAGCACACTTCAAAGTCACAGCCTCTCCCAAAGGTTTGGGGACAGGAAAACAGCCTTCATTTCTTCCTTTGAAGATTTGGATTCTTTATCTGAAGACTTTTCAAATATACTATAATTCAAGATGCAAACTCAGAACAAAAGTATTTGTCTTAAAAGTGAATAAGAAATAATTAAGTAGGTTTGTGGAAAAACAAGAGATAAGCCCAGATGTGCAGACAGGTTGAGCAGGCTGGGCACACATGTGTTTGCCTTGGCCATGGAATAACTGTCAACATTTCCATAACAAGGAGTGTGGGATCTGCCCCTTCTTGTTTCCTTTTCCCAAGTTGCAGACCCAGCACGGCTGTGGGAAGACACGGTTTTCCAGTTCAGCCCACATGCCGCAGGGTCTAGCGGTAACAAAATAGGTACAGCTCATGCTTTCAGAAGAGTTTCTCTGGATATACATCCACCTTGGTCAGAGATAGCTGAAGGCTGTGTGTGCTAGCTTTTAGTTTCTCATCTCCATGCTTGCTCTCAGTGGTATTTTCGTCCAACTTACTATGCGTTTCTCTTTCTGTTGTATTTTAAATGGCATTAAGGAGGGCAGACTCGTGGGGTTAACAAGGATACGGGGGAGCTTTTCATGGCAAACATGAGAGCTTCATGTTCCTCCCCTATCAGCACCCCGGGCAGGAGTGCAGCTCTTGGTGTCAAAGCAGGGATTCCTACCCAGTCGTGGAGAAAGAAGTGCATAGAAGTGCTGCCCAGCCAACCCTTAAAGAATGTTTACAGGATAACACAGTAGGTCTCCCTGCTGCTGTCTCTGAGTACATGTTTTATCCACTTCTACAGGCTCTGAGTTTGCTAATGGTTTAATAATGCTTAAGAAAAAAAAATATTAATAAAGTGTCGTATTATTAAACTGGCGATGAACAAGACTAAGAAGCAGATTTTAGCTTTTATTTCACTGAGGGTTTTCATTAACATTCATCATGAGATGAGTGTTTGCTCATTTGTATTTGATTTTAGTCAAGTTGACTGCACCTCTCCAATTTTTCAAAAAAGTGCCAAAGGCTTTTTTTTTTCCCCTATTGTATATTTAACTTACTTCAAAGCCAACACATGAGTTTCTGTAGGATATTACCTCCCTTGCATTGCCTTTATCTAATTGGTTATGTGTGGTGTACAAGTGCACCATGTGCACATGGACACCCTTGAAAGATTACTAGGATGGCATGCCAAGGGAGCTACAGGGAGATAACGATGACTGTTTGGTGCAAAATTAATGATGATTTACAGATGAGCTTGTGCACGAGATTAATTGGTATTTCTAAAGGAGGAGCGAATTCTCATTTTGGAGCGTGAGGGCAAATTCAGAGCGATGTGAGACGCAACAGTTGCTACCTCGTGGTGGCAACTAGCAGTGGAAAGCCCTGTTAGCTAACACGGGTCCAACCCCATATATCTTGAAGGCCAAGGAACTGGACAAAGGTACTGCGTAAATGTAGGAGAGCATAAGGCTCTTGAGCTGTGCTTGTGGTTCTGCTGAAATCAGCTGAGGGTAAAATCTGTCATTGCCAATGGGCTCGTGTACATTACACCTTGACACCTTCACCGTAGGACATTTTCCAGCTGGCTTGTTGGCCCATAAATTCACCAAATTAAACTTCATCCCTGAATGCAAGCCAGGGGCTTGCTGAAGATTTGAACCTAACGTTATTCAGGAGAAATGTAAACGTCATTTTCAGAACGATCTTTCCTCTCTGCGCATGTTCATTAGATGAAAACATGTTACTTAAAATAAATGTTCCTAAACTGAGGTAGAAAAAAATACCAACAACAGGAAGCGTTAGACCATCTTTAAATTATCAACCATTTATCGTACAATATAAAATGGATCCGTGCGTGCAAATCCAAGTTATACGAGATGTCAATTAAATCAACTCTAATCTCCCAAATACACTTTTTTATTGCCTGATTGATGAGGACTGCTCTTAAGGTGATGAATAGGTTTCACTTTCCCAAAGGACTGCTGATTCTTATATACGTGTCCACTCAAAATACAGAAAATCTTTCGAAATGTCTGGCTCCGTTTGCTTTCAGGATCTAGATGGAGCGAGTGCAGGACACAATATGATCTAATATATTAATTGTGAAGATGAGCTGTATAAATGATACTGTACCTTTAATAAAAAAACCTCAAAGTAACACTACAGTAGATTTAAACTGTTTTATTTTCCAAAGGCAAAGCTCTATATAACGTCTTTGTTTTCTTTCCTATAGCAAGTCCACATGCAACACCATCGACTCTTCATTTTCCAACATCACCCATTATTCAACAGCCTGGGCCATACTTCTCACACCCAGCAATCCGCTATCATCCTCAGGAGACTCTGAAAGAGTTTGTCCAACTTGTCTGCCCCGACGCTGGTCAGCAGGCTGGACAGGTGGGGTTCCTAAATGTAAGGAAGCCGTTTTTATTTCTTCAGAAGTGTTTGTCCTATGTACAATTAACCATGGGATTATTGGGATTATTTTAACAGCATGTTGCGTACAGGAACACACGTCAAATAGTCATTGGAAGGGGAAAACAAACAAAAAAAAAACACCAAGCGAAACGCTGCTACTGCAAAAATATTTTAAAAAGCAACAAAAAAACCTCCCCAAAAAACCACTTGACCACATTGTGGTGGAATGAACTTAAACTGTCAGAGAAGCTGGGGATACAGTGACCTTTGGGGTCCCTCCACAAATGACTTTGCTGCATGCATTGTAACTTTCATGGAATTAGGGTTAACAAAATATGAAGGCAGAATAATTTTTATTAATTATTTTTGATGTTCAGGGGAGAGTGGTGGGGGGAAGGAGGAGGAAAAGGGAGGGTGAGAAACAGATGTTTCAGATCAGCTAAGTTCATTAAAAAAAAAAAAATACTGCCTTATAGCACTTTAGATCAAGTTGACCAGTACTTGAACTCAAGATGTTAAAAGTACAGTTTATTATGGTTTGTTATTTCTGTAAGCAGTTATCTTTTCCCCTTATCTCTATGAAAAATTAAGCAGAGTTCCAAAGCTTCAAATAACCATTTTCATTTTTTTTTAAATCAAATAAAATTAATCATCTTGCTATTATTGAAATAGCATTCCGGTCAAATACAGAATTTATAAATTTTATGTAAATCAAATCTAAAACAATGCTCTGAATATTTCATGAAATGTAATGCATGTAACTTTTTCCAGCCAATGAAGTAATAACTGGCAAAATTACCATTTCTCTCCTGACTTACATACGACTGAAAATGTTAATGAGAATTAGTTTAATTATTAGCATCTAATTTATTACAGTTATTTAATAAGCTATATTGTTCTCAGTGCTTTCCTTTCCCTAGCAGAAAAACTGACTCGACTTATTCCAGTCAGTACTGGCTTTGAATAATGTCTGCAATATGTTAGCAGATACATTTTTGTCTAGACAACAAATCAATATAGTGCTTTTCTTTTTCTTTGAGTATTCATTTACTTAATTTATCCCGAACCATTCAGCGTTATGAACTGTTAGCACACTCACAATGAACATGCAGCAGGGGTCTTTTTGGCAGGAAAGGGACCTAATTGTGAGACAAGATAGTGTTTGAGAGATGTCACTAATATATTAGTTTATTAAAGGTACTGGATGTTGGAAAAATAAATATCCCTGAAGGATTGCTTTTCACTGCAAACACTAGTAACTGCAGTCTTTGAGGTCAGCGGGGGTGCTGTTAAGTTAAATGCAGATGAGTTTGAGTCTTATTTATGCCCCGAACCATTTTTGCTCTGGCACAAGCGTGGTTTGCATCTACCTTTTGTCAGTGCCAAAGCAGGTGACATGAAAACCAGGTCCCGAGTGTTTGCCAGCGTGAGTATTTTGTCCCCAGTAATTCAGGCTAATGGAAGCCCTAACAGGAATTAAAATATTATTTTCTTTAGTGGTACTTAGAATATGGATCTGTGTTTAAAGCTGAGCTCTTACCATCAATGGAAAAGCCAATGCCCAGTGCCAGAAGAACTGCAGTGAGATCAATTTGTAGAGTGCTGTCGAAAGTGATCTCATCATTTTTGTCACTAAAATGGGACACTTGATTCACAGGCTGTCCTACTTTCTCTTCGTAATGGTATTTGGCATCTATCTGTATGGTTTTCAAGTGTCCAGGCTGCGTTACATTGAAAATGTAAACTTAAGTTGGGGGAAGGGATGGTTTCTTTTTTTTTTTAATTAAGCCTGCTTCTTGCTTTTTGATACCTGAAAACACTTTTACTTATAGACAGATTTTTCTAGTGATTAATTGAAAGACTACACTTGTCTAGCTGAGTCTGCCCATGACTGACCACATCCCAAGCTAGATGGAAGCATTTTTTATTCCTAATGTGTAAAACGAAGCAGTTCTAAGTTCAGTTGTTTGTCCCTATGAGCCGAATGGCAACTAAGCTGTGAGCTCCACTCCTGCTAACCCAAAAGGGATGTGGGAGAGCAGTTCCTTTAATATGTACTCAGTCATTTTCCTGTAATAAGAGATCAGCAGGACTTTTAAGACCACCGAAAATGCTTGTTTTTTCTCTTAATGAGTGGTATCCTTAAGAAATTTACACTCGAGTCCTTGGCACTGATATCCTAAGGGCATCACAGAGGCACGAAACCGAGGGATTTAAGGGGTCAAGAAGATTGCTTCAGCTCTCCCTGAGCATGAATTAGTGGCTGCAGGAAATGTAAAGAGTAGTAGTGTGTAATCCAGGGCACTTCAGACCAGCCGCTAATGGGACAAATGTTTAAAAGCAAGAATTTCCGTAGTTTCACAGGGTTTGAGACAAAGTTCCTTGAAGTCCATGGAGAATTTGAGCCAGCACTTTCTTTGCCACCTCTCAAGTAACTGTAAATGTATTGCACATAGCTTTCAGCTAGATTGTTATTACTGGAGGTTCCTAAGAGCTGATTTTTAGTATGATTTTTGTCTGTTTGCTTGTTTTTTGTCAGCCCAATGGTAGCAGCCAAGGCAAGGTGCACAATCCATTCCTTCCTACCCCAATGTTGCCACCACCACCTCCGCCACCAATGGCTAGGCCTGTGCCTCTGCCAGTGCCAGACACAAAACCTCCAACTACATCAACAGAAGGAGGGGCCACCTCTCCCACTTCTCCAAGTAAGTATAGACGCAGCGGGAACCAAGGGCTAAGGGCAGCGCCCAGCATGCCGCCATCACCGTCTTGTCGGCTGTTGAGAGATGAGGACTGGAGTAGCTCTCTGGGGGAGTAGGAGAGCTCTCCACTCCATGTGTGGTGGACAAAATTCGGAGCTGCCTCTCTGCTGATGAGAAAAGAGTTAGCTTAAGGTTACAGTTTTATTTCTGTTGGTGGTGCACATAACCATGTATGAGAGAAGTCAAGGCCAGTAGCTAAGCTGGGACACAGACCTTGGAGCTTTGGGATTTTATTTACTGTCCTGAGGAGGCGAGCTGGGATCTCAGGGCAGGGTTTAGAGGAGAGATACTACATGGAAGTCAGGCAGATAGCCTCATGGAAAACATCGCTGCTAGGCTAAACTAAAAACTCTATCGAGTTCTCTTCATTTATAGTTCTTCTGGGAATAAGGCTTCCTAGATTAACCCAGACGTCTTTCCCTTACGATTTGGTTCCCGAGCCCTGCGTTTTGGGCAAGAGGCTGTGGTATTTCTTAGGCCCAGGGAGAAAGCTTTAATCCTCTCTCCACCACCCACACGGCTCCCATATGTATTCTGTGTAGCCACAAGTCAAATACACAAATTCCTGGATACACACTTGGGGATACCACTTTGGACTCCCTCTTCTGGGAAACAAATGCGATTCAGCTGGGTTCGATGCTTTAAAAAAGTCTGGATGTTCAGGGAGTTAATTGTGAAATGATTTAATGAAGCTATGCTCAAACTGACATTTAAAAACAAAAGGGAAGCTTTCAGTGCTTTAATGGCAGCTGTAGGGGACTTGTTCCACAGTGAAGGGAGTCCAAATAACATCCACAAACAAAAATCAATCTAATCGAAAGAGCAAATCCCTTTGTGTGCTTTTCAGGCTTATTATTTAAATGCTATATGCAACCACTGCTTGATGCGCAAGGAGATACTCACTGTTCAGACCACGTGAAGCCAACATTTCTAAAGCTTTGTGTACCATTCGGGAGATTTGCACAGGTTCCAGGGGGCATTTTTAAAATCTGAGGGTTCTCAAGAGTTTTGCATCGCCTTCTGCTACGCGATAGTGCACAACTGCAAGCTCAGCAAGATGCTCCGGCTCGCTTGGAAATTAAAATGGGTTTTAGTATGAGACAGTCTGGTAAGATCGTGAACATGATCTTCTAGAATCAGGACTTCTAGAATCGATCAGCAGATTTTTGTTGAGCTAAGAAGTTGATTCATTCCCTCCACTCCTCTTTCTGACCTTAGACCAACACTTGTGCTAGCAGGAAGTTTTGACGCTTTCTGATGGGAGATACCGCCTTTTAAGTCCTATCAATAAGATTCAGCAGTGGAATCTAAAAGGTTAATGTTTAGTCATAGTTATCACTGAATATAGTCAGCAATGCCTTGCTATCTCCTTGTCTTCAGAACTGGGAAAAATGAAACTAGGTCAGTGTCTATTTATCATTACAGTTGTGACTCAGTTTACTGGCAGCGTGTGGTGTCTAAAAGAAAAAAATTCCCAACATCATTTTAGCAGTAATCTTAATGCTTCGTTTTTGTGATACTGTGATCATGTAAACAAGCTAAATGCGTGTCTGGCCTGATTCTCAGCTGGTGTAAAAATTGGCATTTGGCTGCTGAAGTTCGCAGAACACCAGCCATCGGAATCGGTGTGGGCTGGTCACTGTGGCTCAGTGTTCAGCAGACAGCTGCCACCTTAATTGGGAATCGAGGTTTTCTCAAGAGCAGCCAGTTAATGGTATTTAAACAAAAGATTAGGAAAATAATTACTGTTTGTTAATTAGCTACGCTGATGTCTAAACATATAGTTCTGTACATATTCAGGCATGCATCTTCCTTTGGGTAAGGGTTTTGAATAGCAGTGACTCGAGTTGTAAAGAGGCATAAAATTGAATTTAGGGACAAATTTTACAGAAAAGTAGATTATAGGAAACATTTTCTATGAAAAAAAAAATCTTACATGTCTACCAAAGCCAGTGGAAGCAGCTGGCTACATAAAGACTAAAACCAACCGAAGTTCTTAGCTTCACAGTGGGAGTTTACCAGGAGAGCCCACTGGACTCCATTTAGCGTGTCAATCAGCACCAACCCAACATTTTCGCCGGTGTTTGTTTTCTCCTTATCTAAATATTAGCCTGCGAATAGCAAGCGCAGATTCACCAGAGTTTTCATAAAAGCCTCACAAAAAGGTGTTTTCCATGGTTACAAACTGCTCGAGCGCACCAGTTCTGGGAGCGTCGCTGGGTTGTGACTGACTGCCCTGCCGAGATTTAGGCTATTGGAAAGTCACTTATGCAACAAAGGCAGGAGTGATGTTAGGTTTTGGCCAGACTCTCTCCTTAGCTTTGTGAAGGAGAATGAAGTTGTTGTCCCCCCCTGCCTCAAGGCGGTGGAGTGAAAGGGGTTGGCATTTGCTCCCATTCTCCTTCCCTTTTTTGGTCTAGCAGAAAGCCCTCTGCAGAAAACAAAATGCAGTTACAGCCCTACCAAAAAATTGGAATATGGCCCTCCTGAGGGGTGCAGGAGCCAGGAGCAGCTGTTCAATACAGCGTGGCCTCCTGGGAGCGAGAGCTAAAAATCACAAGGTGGTTAATGATTCTCAGAGCAATAGTGAAACTCTCCAGCTGTGACATTAACCAAAACATGAACATTAGCACCGTCCAAGGGAGGAAGAGCCCCTGGAGATGCACGCCAGGGATTTGCCGCTACTGGGTGGCCAGGCATGCTCTGGGAGTTCAGCTGCGAATCCTACCCCTTTGGAAAGCCAGCATTTTCCTCAGTGAGATGACACAATGGAGATGGGATTCGTGAGGTCTGGGAGGGTTCGTTTTTCCTCCATAAAAAAGCTTTTCCAATAGAACACATCCTTGATATCGGAAGCAATCCCAAAATTATCTTGTCTCACATCTCCTCTTGATTTTGTTTGGTTGGTAACCCAGCACAAACACTACACAGTATTTTCTTGAACTTGACGGTTTCTGGGTTTAATATCTCGTTGCCCAAAGAAAACACCACCTCCACAACCTGCCAGCGGGTCTTTATCGTTAATCCCTATCATATCTCACTGTTAGAATCTGTGGCCCTCATTCCTGTGCGGTCTTAAGATACCGCCATCCTGCACATCACGATTGTTAAAGAGCATTTTTAAACTTAATGTTATTTTCTAAGGTTCACAACTCTACGTGGGGAGAAACTTAGCTGTTTTCCCTTGTTGGGCAAGATCGTTATCGGTTAATGTCCCCTTGCACAAAGGAGTTTTTGTGTTAAACAGCGTTTGTGTCAGGATGAGAAGAACGATCTTGTGGCTGTAGTAGTGGATTCATAATCAGATTGGATTCCGCTCCCTTTCTCTGCTATGCATGGGCTGAGCACCCTCTGCGCAAGCCGTTTGAGCTTTCTGTTCATTCCTTTCTCCATCCATAAAAAAGAGGGTGATGACTGCATCATTTAATTTGTTAGAGTTTGCAGTTCCCTCTCAGATACTCAGCTGCAGAATGCGTCGTGGCAGGAATCGCTGTGTTGCACCGCGTTCCTCCGGTTAATTCTCTCGCTACAGCTCCACAACAGCTAAACTGAGTCCTAGTCCTTTGCAGAACACTGCAGCTCTCCCTGTCAAGCACATGTACCTGTCATCTTGGTCTGTAAAAGAGAGACCTGGTGCTACACGAGGTTACCGCGCACTCACATAGTCTTTTCCAACTAGAAGTTTATCCTTTTCATCCAGAGCTGCCTGATAAACGACACACTCCTATACTTAATAGGAATTATTTCAGGAAAGTGTATTTAAAGTTAACATTCTCCTACTGCAGGCAACTTTAAAATACATGACATTCCCAAAACTGTTTGTTTGTCTTGTGTTTCATACAATTTCTTCCCATTTTTGGCTAAATATCAAAACTGTCTGTGTGAGCAAATGTTCTTTCTCTGCCAGCTCCTGTTTTGCTTGTTCCTGAAGTGAAGCATCATAGTAAATTTGTGGCATCACGTTCATTTCCTTGGCTATCGGCTGTAATGTTGCAAAGAATCCTTAGTGAATTCCCGTAGCAGAAAGATTAGGCTGGGCAGGAAGATGTTTCCATCCAAGCCCAGTGGGCCAGATATCAGCTGATGTAACCTCTTGTAGATCTCTGCAGTTCCCACGGAGCAAAGCTGATGAAGATCAGGAGATCTGCCTAAGAGACCTGGCTTTGCTCCTTTCCATGCTTTGGCTTTTCCCTTTCCTAAAAATGAGTTTGGAGACCCCACCGCAGGCTTAGCCTGTGTATGTTGTAGTGTAATGTGAGCCAGCTTTAACTAGTGAGAGCAGTTTGCCACATCTCAGAACAGAGTACAGGGATCAGAAATGGTTAAGACTTCCAGGAACACCACCTCCATGTCCAACAAGGGTATTTGTATGAAGCCAGATACAGTCAGAAGCTGATCTAACCAACTGCTGGTACTGCTCCCTTTTCTGAACCAAATTTCACCGTAAGAGGAGTCCCTGGCCAGTGAGTACTCCATGTCAACTTAATATTCTAAGCCAAAAAGGGCCCTTACAATCCGCAAATGTCTCGGGCTATTTTACAGTGAAGGGAGACTAGCACCTTGGGAGAGCCCAGCCTAAAGCCTGCTCTGCATAGATGTAGTTTTGGTACTTTTCCCTTCTTGGCTCCAGCAATGTAGTTATATGACCTTAAGGAAATACCAAGCTGACATCCGAGTATTTTCAGAAAGCAAGTTAAACACAGTTTGAAGCAGTACAGAAAAAAAGGTATACATAGTAATTCACCCAGCAAGGTTTGAGAGGACTTCTGTGCATATTATACACTTTTCAAAAGCTTTAGAATTTTTGTTTGAACAGAGAAGCCATTTAAGACAGCGTTCCGATGATTTCCCTTTGATTTTCTACCAAATATCACAGCAAAAGAATCTGCCAACAGGGAACTGTAAACAAGATCTTGAGTTCCTTCCCTTTTGAGTGGAACTTACCTGCTCCAAGGGATTAAATGGCCTCTCCACTCATTCTGCTTCCTTAAAAGTAGACCAGAAGAACCAAACAACAGATGTTTGATTTTTGAGCTTTAAGTTCATTTTCCCCACTGCAGAAGGAATTTTTAGTCTCTCACTGCATAGGTCTCAGCAGCTAGTTAAAAAAAATACAACCCTCACCATTAAACACTGTAGAAGAATCTTAATGCATGGCACCAGCAAGAGAGATATACCCTTTGCAAATTTGTGGCTTTGAATTATTCAGCAAATTAACATGGTTAAAAGGCAAGGAGAACATCTCACCAAATCTACTCAATTCATTTCTTACTTGATTTGCAGATAGGACTAACAACCAGTGTACCTGCACATGCCCTAATATGCACTGCAATCTGCAAAATCATCTTGGAAGGATGAATGAGTGCACTTAAAAATTCCTTTAAAGCTTTGTGAAGGAAAGGTGTTCCTTGCATGATCTTTGCAATTACTAGCAAAGCGTTGGAAACGACTGGGAAGACTTTATTCTTAGAAATCAGGAGTGCCCTAGCTCTGCTCTGATCAGTCAAAATGGAGTTATATAGTTCCTGGGGTGATTTAGAGGAATGCTTTTGACGAAGTGAAGCTGTCTTATATAATTCTAAGAACTAGGAGGTGTCATGAGAAGTTTGTGAGACTTATAGAATCATAGAATCATAGAACAATTCAGGCTCAAAAAGACCCTTGGGATCATTGAGTCCAACCATTAACCTACACTACAAGTTCACCCCTAAACCATATCACCCAAACTTGGGTAGAGAGGGAAGGGAAGGGTGCTATTCTGCATGCCCGTAGTCTTGGCAACTGCTCTCCAAGGGTCTCTGTGGGATGCAGAACATTTGCATGGGTTCAAGGGCAGACTGAGCATCCATCAAAGAAAAATCCCTTGCAGGCCATTAGATACAGAGAGTCCTGGAGCTGAAAATATTTGGAGGATAGGAAGAAAGTAAATACGTGACCTGTTTTGACTCTTCCCTCTGCATCTGCTCATGGCCTCTGTGGGAGAGAGGGCAGTGGATAAGGGGGGTACGTTGGTGTGATTCAGGACAGTCTGAAACTAAAGGCTCCTCTAGTGTAATGCCTCTTCACCCAACATTTTGCCTTCAGAAAAGCAACAGGATTTCATCTACGCAGATGACTCAGTTGTCTTCTCCGACTCTTAACTCGCTTTATTTTTCTGTAGCATTGAGGCCTGAACATTATATTTAGCCTGACTGGAATTTGGCAAGTAACTTTCCTTTTAACATTGTTTTTTGTCTCTTCATTGGATGGTCAGATTGTCTGGGGATTTTATTCAGCAGAATGCATTCCCATAAATATATATAAAATAGACAGAATCACTGTTTGTATTAAGGCGTCTATTTAGGTTATTTGAATTTAGACCTGAACAGGCAAAACTGAACAAAAGAGAAGATTGCATGGGGGGTTTCCAAATGAGAGGAAGCCTGAAAATGCATTGAAAGCTTTTGGATGTGGAAGTACGTGGCGTTGTGGACAGTTGCAGTGGAGAATATAATGCAACAATAAAATCATTAAAGTACTTCAAGTTTGGAAGTAATCTGGGTTCTTGGCTTGCATTGCATTTAATAGCTTTACATTTATGGGAGCCATTCCAGTTTTTAAAGGCAGCTTCAGCCTTCAGACTGATTGCACTTACCACCCCAGTGAAACTGCAACCCATTAATTTTTTACCGAAAGGATCTTCCTAGTTTGTCAAACACATCAAGTGAACATTTTAGAGAGTGCAGACCGCAGCAGTATGAAAACCAAGACTTGATGTCGAGAGAGAATGCTGGATTAGCATGAAATAAGGGCTCAATTCCGTTAATAAGCTCTTTAGTAAATTCAGAGCTATGCAAAACTCCGTTAAAAGCGGAGATACCACCCATTCAAGTGGAAAAAGTCAGGGCATGACCTAGAGGAGCCTCTCGCGCTATCCCAGGCGCGGCGGTTCTCTGCGATGGCGAGCAGGTGACCCAGCGCGCTCCTCCCGGAGCATTGCACCCGCCCAGGAGCAGCCCAGTCCCCTGCGTGTTTATCACCCCTCCGCCTCCTTAAGACCAACCCTTTCCAGCGTCTTCAAACCAAACTCTCGCTCTCTAAAACGTTTGCACATTTCTGTGTTGAACATCTGCTTAGGTGGCTCCGAGACGGTGTGTTTTGGTGTTGTTCGTGTGCAATCTAGTGCCGCTTCCTCAACGCATGTGTCCCTTCCCTTCACAGCCTACTCGACACCCAGCACCTCCCCCGCAAACCGATTCGTCAGTGTTGGACCACGGGATCCAAGCTTTGTAAATATCCCTCAACAGACTCAGGTGGGCCGCTTTCGACTTCTCTGTATGCCTGCAGCCTCTTCTTCTTCAGTGTCCTCTAACGTGTCCCCGCGGAGCCAGCTGCATTGCTGCTGTCACCTCACCCACATGGTCTCAGTAACTACAGTGAATTGTCACTTGCAGTTTGTTTGTCTGTTGTGGTTTTTTTCCTTTTTTTCTTTTTTTTTTATTGGGCTTACGTAGTAATAACGCTCCTTTTCGTAACTGGAAAGATCTCTCTCGCTTTCTAAGGTATTGGCTTCTGGCGCACAGTTTTTTTTCCTCTTGGACTGGGTTTTCAAAGGCTTTTGCTCCAGCCTGTTCCCTAGCACAGAATCACAGAATGTTTGGGTTGGAAGGGACCTCAAAAGATCACCTAGTCCAGCCCCCCTGCCAGAGCAGGATCACCCAGAGTAGGTCACACAGGAACATGTCCAGGTGGGTTTTGAATGTCTCCAGAGCAGGAGACTCCACACCCTCCCTGGGCAGCCTGTGCCAGGGCTCTGTCACTCTCACAGTGAAAAAGTTTTTTCTGATATTTCTGTGGAACCTCCTATGTTCCAGCTTGTACCCATTGCCCCTTGTCCTATCATTGGACGCCACTGAAAAGAGCCTGGCTCTGTCCTCCTGACACTCCCCCTTGACGTATTTATAAACACTAATGAGGTCACCCCTCAGCCTCCTCTTCTCCAAGCTAAAGAGCCCCAGCTCCTTCAGCCTTTCCTCACCAGGGAGATGTTCCATCCCTCCATCATCTCCGTGGCTCTGCCTAGGCAGGGCGTTTAATTGGGTGTGCAAAAGGAGCTTAGAGAGACCCACCCGGTAACGGTGCCCCTTAGTCCCCCACCAGATACAACAGGAAAGTGTTCCGATGGCTTCCACGTTACGAAAAAAAAAAAACACAAACCAAAAAAACAGACTCGAATTCCTGGCTGGCCATTCGCATGGTGGGCTTCGAGTGAGCAGGGGATTTTGTAATTGCGCGCACATCTGTTTCCTTACACAAAGAGAAAAAAGTCCAGTTGAGGCAGGCCTATAAAGCTGGGTTAACTGAATTCATAGTCCCGCTCTGGTCAAATCAGAAGCTCAAGTAAACATTTGTGTTTCTTTAGGAGAAGGATGAGGTTTAAATGTGCTTTTTCAGAGCTGTATCAAATTCCCAGGGTCGATTAAGAAAATAGTTGTTGGCAGTTTTGTTAGCAGCTAATTTGAGCCAGATGTTGAAAAAATTAAGTCTGTGCTTAATATCACGTTATCATGGGGGAGAAGGTATAAAAAAGTGAGCAGAACTAGTGCTTTAGGACAACTGTAGTGTGTAGTTTCAAGTGATTGCTTGACTCTGGTACAATTCTTTTAAAGGTCAACAGCAAGCAGTATTTTTAAATTTGTTTTGGGCCGATTGTGATGACTAAAAAGTAATCATTCAAGTAACGAGCAAATCGGGGCGTACTACTCTAAGCGCTTGTAAGTTCTTTGAGATTGTTTATGTGCAACCGAATAATTGGTGCCCAAATTAATGGCTGCCACATGCCATGGTCTGGGCTGTGTATGAAGACAGAGCCCTCGTTGCAACGGCTTCAGCACCTATGCTGTCAATGAAACACAAGTCATTCATTACTGAAGATTTTCAGTTTACAGGGCTGCAGCCAGATGCCTGTGAACACAATGTGGCTTTTTTGCTATCTGTTCTTTGTGTACAATTTGTTAGGGGCTTTAGTTTATAGCTCTGTCGACAGCACAGGTTAAACTACATTGAATCTCAAACCTTCTCTGCATTAAATAGGGTCACAGAAAGTACACCAGCAGTGCCGAGCGGGGTTTTAACCCATCAGGTTCTGATTTTTTTTTTTCATGAGGTAACGAAACGCAGCCTGCACCCCGCTTTTCAGACCTCTGCCTTTATCTGGTGCACGTACGTGACAAGTTTTCGTGCGCCTTCATGTTTAAATTGTATTTCTCCAGTCATTTTGGAAACAACTGGAATACCGAGAAATGCTGAAATCTGGAAACGGGAATTTTAAGGTATACTGTTAAAGTCCTTAAGCGTTTGGTCTTTGCCTTCATAGCTTAGGAAACCTGAAACCCTTTGGAGAATGCTACTTACCTTTTCCAGAAGACTTGAAAAACTACCAGTTGGTAAATTGATTATGTAGTAAGACACAGCAGTATTAAAGCTCCAAAAATATTTTAAACTTATTTGGATCCTGCAACCTAGGTTTCCCAGATAAGTTTGTTGACTGTAAACTTTTATCCTACTTATTTATGACTTAAATCATTTTAAAGTGCTCTAGCCTTACTTTAAGTGCTTCTATGTAATGCAGCGTAGTGAATAACAATGCTGTACAGTGAAAAACAATACTCAAGCACAGCTTTCAATTAAAGTCAAACATGCTGCAGTGGGTAAGGAGCCTGCCTTCCAATCTCTGACTCCAGCTGCATCTCCGTGCTTCTGCACATCACTCCACCACCACAACCCACTTGATACTAAATATATAATTTATCAGCAAAACTCACTACTTATTCATGAAACAACTCTGAACTTGACTGTGTTCAGAGATGTGAGGTAAAAATACTAAGTGCAACGGTCTGGGATTTACTTAACGTTCCTCTAAACAAAGACGTGCTTTTGTACTCCTTTTGCAGGACATTAGTGCATAGGACAGTCTCTTAGGATATTTTCAAAATGAAAATATAAAAACACATAGGGCTGTGTTATTAAAAGCAGCTGGGGTGGCTGCTTTCCATCAGGATTTTTATGGTATGTTCAGAGTCAGCCTAAGATATGGGTCCTGTGGACCAGTAACTGCTGGGCCACACAGCTCCCTTAGACAAGAGGAAGCAGTGAACCTTCAGAGCTTCTGAAATTCTAGCTCAAATATAAGGGTTAAGGAACTCTTTACTGCTGGAACAACATGAAGGCTGTATCTGAGCACCTGCATTTTTTTAAATTATGGTCCAGCTACAAGCCATAAGAAAACATTACGGCCAGCTTTTTGGTGACTCTGATTTTCTCGTCCAATTGGTGGGTCATGGGCTCTAATTACACATCGTCCTTGTTAGCTTTAAAATGCCCCAAAAGTGAGTCTGTGCACAGGGATGTGGCAGCACCGTTCAGCAGAAGTCGCGTTTCCCATACATGGGCGTTCACAGGCTTTCACAGAACATTGGAATAAAATTGCAGACAAAGGTACAACAGTATGGTTGGGTTTGGACGAGGGTCATTCTGTCCTGCGCTGTTCTTAAACACCCCAAACCAGTACGTGCCTTACTTAATGGACATTACAAAAATTAGCAGTAGACATTTCCATTAGCGGCGTGTTCTGATTTATGCCACATTCCCTCAGATATAATCCCTTAAAGGAATTGTATAGAATTTTTATAATGTTTTATTTAGAGAGACGCTGTCTCCCTGTGTCAGCAAAGGTTGTAGCAGGACAACCCCGTGACAGAAAAGACCAGGAAATGAACTGATTTAAGTCGTTCGTTCTGATTCCGTAACGAAAGCCCCCAAAGGGCTGTTGGCTTTGTCTGGCTTTAGCAGCTTCAAAACTTTTCATTTGGTTTGTTTTTTCATACACTGCCTCTGCTTACCCCTTCCATCACTCTGCCACTCCAGCGGCTCACTGCATAATTGTCCTATCTGGGGGGTTATTTGAATCTAAATTTCTGTTTGAGCTATTAGAAGAAGCACTTGACTTGGCATCCTCTGTATATGTTGACAAAAAGGCACAGGTGCTGTAACCTTTGCTTGATAAATCATTTACTTTTGCTACTTGACTCGCAAGCAATATGGGGGCATCAGCTTTTTAACTGCCTTTTCCATATGCAAATCAGAAATACAGTATGCCGGGGGTACGCAGGCTTTAGTTTCAAAAGCATGCTGGTCTAGATACCTCATGACTAAGTAATAGATACGTCTCTCTTATTGCCAAGGACTTGTAATAAGGAGAGCTGTGGAGGAATGGGAAAGTACCATCACATTAATTAGCAACTAGCCCATCAGTAGCAGCAACACTAATAAAGAATAAAGGGTTTGGAGTTGGGGTTTTTTTTGATTTCCTAACCAAGCGATGAAAGTAATTGTGAAACACAGGATATGCGCTCAGAGAGCGTGCAGCTGGTAACGCTAAACTAGCAGCCTGCTCTGCCTGCAGTTTGCGCTGTCGCTCGCCGCTCGAAATAGTGTTTGCTGATCTCTAGTGCCCTCACTTCACTCTGTAGCACGAAATTCCTTTCTGGGTAGGTGTGCTGCGTTCAGTGTGCTGCAGCTCCGCTTCACGCTAAACATTGTTTACTAGGCTGAGTCCCGTTTGGCACCTACTTAGCCTACACCTTTCTGGAAATGGTACTTTGGATGCTAAAAAGAGCTCCCGAGCAGCACGTGCCTGCTCCACTTAATCCCTCCCACCTGCCTGTAGCCTTACACAGTGAGGTTGCGAGGATGCTCATAGGAGAAACTGCCTCGCATTGTAGGAACCCAGGCCAAGGATCAACTGCTTTACCACCTGTGAGAATCTAAAGGGTTTTCTTCTGCTCTTAGGAGTCTATCACACATCCTCTTGACGAGCTGTTTCACAAGTCCCTCTCTGGTCTAAACAGGCTTTATATCAGACCCATACAAGTTAGATTCTAAAACTCAGTTAAGCACAAAACCAAATATCTATTCCTTTACCCTCCTCTAGGAAAAGAGAAAACTATTTTCTAGAGGAACAGAAGTCGAAGCTCCTGCTGCTTCTGTCTCTGCACCATCCCAAAGCTACAGTCACGTTGTGGGTAGTAAACCAAGGTCTTGTCTTTTCACTTTTCCCTGGTAAGGTCCTAGAGCCGCCCAGCTACAGCAGTGCTCAGCATACACCTCATCCTTTATAATGCAAAACGATTGAAACAAAAGGCCTGTAACTTACCTGCACACTGCAATAAAGTATGGGGGGGGGGCAAAAAGTCAAACAAGCTTATCAAGGCAGCAAAATGAGCAGTATGAAAACCAGCAAGCTCAGAAGCAC